AATTGGGGGTCACCACAACATGAGGAACTGTATTAGAGGGTCGCGGCATTAGGAAGGTTGAGAACCACTGCTCTAGGAGGATATGTCTACCCCACGGCCTCTTTCCACAATCCTTGTCCTTTGCTCTGGGCCTTCCTAGGCTGCTCCTGTCAGAGGTGAACAGGGGGGGGACAGGCCAGCAGTTGGGCCAGCAGACAGAACCACATGTGTCTTGCCACTAGTTTGGGTATTTCTAGAACCTATGGGTGGGGAGGGTCTTTCAAAATTCACTTCTCCTCAGCGGCTTCTCCTGAGACCTAGGAATCCCTATTAAAGACCATGGCAGCTTGTCTCCACCTGGCAGTATCAGGAATCTTCCTCAAAACATGCTCTGTCTTGCCCACCTGGTGAATTCAAAGGCATCTTTATCTACCAGCAGAGGTAAACTCTGCCCCACTCAACCTGGTGCTGGGCGAAGGCAGATGCTGACCACCCGGGGGAGATCTCCATAAGGCCTCACCAGGGAGCGCCATGCCCTCCACCCCTGTAGAGAGGGGCTTGCTTGGGTTGGGCCTGGAAGGAAAGCTGTGCTTGCAATGAGTGATAAAGGCCGCCTACATGGGTCGTTATACTTTTAGAACTCAGAAAAATTGTGCCAGGAGACGTCTGTGATAGGTTCTCTGGATTTATTTGTATGGGTGGTAAGGATCTAGGCATCTTGAAAAAAAGAAGGGATACACAAGATTCGCACCACCCCCACCATCACTGGGAACCAGCAGCTTCCTCCTCAGCCCGCTCTCTCTGATACAGAGCTCCTTGGGAAAGCAGGATGCTGCTTTTTAAAAGTACTCATTGACCTTGAACTTTTAAATGTGTTTCTCAATTTTCCCCTTTTATCACTGTCCGGCTAACATTATGCTATGTCATTTCTTAAGTTCCGGTATTTAATGTAAAATATTGAATGAAGACATATTTTACAAACAAGCTACACAACTGGATATGGGAGGAGGGAACATTTTGCCAACCATGTCTATCCTTTCTCTGGGCACTTGACAAACATTCCTGGCATCCAAACAAGCAAGTGGGCAAGAAGGCATTCCCTCGGCATTCCTGCTCCTCTGGTTCACAGGGCCAACGTGCCCTGAGAGTAGGGGCATAAATACCATACAATGAGGGCTTTGAGTCAGCATTGGGTTAGAATCTCAACTCTGTCATACATGAGCTGTAGGAGCCTCCATGTCTTCATCTGTAAAATGGAATCGTTCTCAATAAGAGAATTCATGTAAAATGGCATTGGCCTACACATATAGGTCCAATAAGTGCACATTCTTATCATTTTCATGCTAGCACTTGAGCATCTCCTATTCGGGACAGCCCTGGGTGTGTGTTCACAGTGCTGGTGTGGGTTCACATGAGGGTCAGGCCCTGTCAGACAGAAGCCCCCTCTTCCTGTCAGACCTCCCTGACATCCGCACTCCATTCCTCATCTGCCTCATGTTTCTTCCCAGAGTTGTTTCCCTCTTTCCACCCCTCCTTCCTCTCTCTCCTGGAGTCTAACTGCCTCCTCCATGGCCCTCGGAATCCCTGCCGTGTCAGGCAATCCTTCTCGCTCAGTGTCAACATCACCAATGCTCCTGGGATGCTGTGAGGGGGAGAAGCCACTTGTTTCAACCAACCCACCCTCTACATTTATCTCAGCCCCATTCCCTGGACCATCCTTCAATCCTCCCCTGCTCCATAAAAACATCTCATTATCTCCTAAACTCACATTTGATCATGTGTTCTGCCTTAGCTGCTTACATCTGAGATCTTTCTGTCTGAGGCTTCCACTCCTAGCTGGCTCATCTTCAGATTGTGCTGAAAGGCACTGACTGCAGAGTCTCGATCCTCAGGAGTGTGTCCCTATCCCCTCACCAGTCTCTGAATCCCGTTCTTCAGGAGGGCATGACTGTGGATGGCTGTCTGCTGGCTGGTCTGGGGGGCTTCCAGCCCTCTCAGAGACCGCCCTTCCTGTGCTGTCTGGTTCTTTCTTTCCTTCCCAATGTCAGTCTGAAAACTAACAGAATCATGATTTTGCTTGAAAAACCGAGAAAAGCCCAGAGCCCTCCAGTGAAGCTGCTTTCTCCTCAGGGCAAGGAATTGGGCCAGATGTAGTCATTGTCATCTTGAGCATTTCAGTGGATTTATTAAGTCTTGCACAGAGTTTCAATCACTTGATAAATAGACTAGAAGCAAAGACCTGCCTGAAAAGGGCCAAGGGCTTCAATGTTTTCTTAGGGATCAGTTTCCCTTACTGTGGTTCTTATACATTCACCTGTGAGAAATTCCTACAAGCCACTCTGCCTGCTGGGAGGCTTGAAGAAAAGTGCCCCGGTTGATAACCACTGTTTTACACATACACACACACACCTGTTAGCACAAGAGCAGAGGTGCAAACACCCAGCAGGGAGAACACGCTTCTAGGAGTCATTGCCTTTGCCCTTCAGCACCCAAGAGAGCTAAGCAAGATGTGGGAATTCCTGCTGCCGGCTCACAGGGACTAAATCCTCTCCAAAGCCATAACATTTCAGTGTGTGGGTGTCAAGGAGGTAGAGGCCTATTGTTCAGATGTGAACCGAATGAGGCACAAACACTAAATATGCAGGTGTGACCATGCGCCACACCTTATCGTACCTGGGGAGGTCTCCCCTGCTTGTGGCAAGTCATTGACAGGATGGGCAGACTGTGTTTGAAAATAAACCTCATGGGTGGATTCACCTGGGCTATAACTCGTGCAGTTCTTCTGACTGCATTCAGCATGAATGTCCTGACCCACAGCCCCATGGACCATCACGGCAGGGCCAGGGGCTGTCTGTGCTGGCCATTCTGGAAAGGTTCAGTGCAGTCTCAGGAATTTCAAGTACAAATCCCATCAGTCACTTTTCAGCAGGTATTTATGAGCCCACCTTTCAAGTCCTTGCTACGTAAAGTATGGGCCACAGGGTGGGAATCGCCTGGGAGCTTGTTAGAAATGCACAGTCTCAGGCTCTGCCCCAGAACTGCTGAATCTGAGTCTGCACTTAACCAACTCCTCGGGGAATGTCTAGGACTATTAAGGTTGAGAAGCCCTGATGCTAGTAACTCAGGAAAGGGTAAAGGTCTGTTCCTTCCCTCTGGAAGCTCACACTCTGGTTGGGAAGACATGACTCATAGATATGAAACAAAGGAGCAAGTCAAATCATCAAGCACGTTTCAGAAGGAAACTTGAGTGCAGAACACCAGGACCAAGGCCTGCCTCAGCCACTTACTGTCACTGAACCTCAGCTGTCTCGGCTGTAAAGTGGGAATAATACTTGTTCTGTCCAGCTTACAGATTGTCCCAGATGGGAAAACAATACAGCCATATGTGCAAACTAACGTTACATACTCTGAGGGCTACAGAAGTTGAGAGATGAGGGCTAGGGATAACTAGAATGGTCTGAAAAGATCCTTGGGGGACAGAAAAGGGGGGCTCGAGGTAGCCTTTTAAAAATATTGAATCATACCCTGAAACTGGCATTATAGTAAAGATGGAAAAATGCACATTTTGACAACTGCACCTAATACAGTCTCTAGCCCAGGCTAAATATAGAGCTTCTACTGACCAACTCTCATCCTGACAACCTGCTAACAATCAACACCATGGGTCTCAGAAACACACACTCAATGCCACCAGGTGTTTTACCGGAGACAGGAAGCAGGTAGAGGCAGTCTCTCTGGGGAGGCTGGCAAGAGCCCTATGGCTACAAACCTTAACTCTGGTTTGGGGCATATAGAAATGGAGCTGCTTGTTATTTTGCAGAGCTGATCTGTGAAGATGCCTGGACACTGCACGGCAATGCCTGGGGGAGTGGGAGGTAAAGAAAATCAGCAGGTGGATAATCGGTTTCCTCGGTAATATTTCTTATGCCTTTGCTGTGTACTAGATGTTTTCATACCTTCCCACCTCCCAACCCCCCATTTAATCCTCACTCTGACCCTAAGAACCTTATGAAGCAGGGAATTCTTTTGTCCCTACATCACAGATGAGGAAACTGGGAATTTAGGGTTAGAACCCAGGTTGGTCTGCTTTCCAGAGCCCATGACCTTAACTGCAAGCTACACTGCTAGGGGAGTGTGAGAATTTCTGGTCTTCCTCGTGCCGTTGAAACAATGTGACTTTGCTTTTGTTGTGAAACCTGGCTCCCTTGGACTCGCTGACGTTTGCCATGCTTGTCCTGAGCTTCTCCAGAGAAATGCTGTCTTCTGGCAGGAAAAGATAAAAAGGGCTGATACAGATGAGTCACCGCACTCGCTATAATTAACAGTGATGCAAGAGCCAGATGCAAACTAAGAGGGGCCCCAGGACCTGCCTTTTAAGCGGCCAGAACTTTGAGCTGCACTTCAATGCAGAAAAGAGTCTCCGTGGCTCAGCCACAGGCTGCTCAATATACATTTAAAAGGGAGAAATGAAACCCGGAATGCCTGCAAGCTCCAAGATAATGGAGCAGAGAAGGCGACACCAAATTAATCTCCTTATTTACAACTGAAAAACCATACACCAGAACCGGAAAGAGAGTTTATAGTTTATAGATAATGTAGATCTTGGCTTTCACACTTGGCCGCCCTGGAACGTCTAAGTGGTTTTCAACCTGCTGAACTGATTTACGGCAACGATAGCTGTAAATTCACTTGTAGTAGGTGTTCAGCTTATACCCTCCTGATGGTAGTGTGTAATGGTGAACTTTTCAAAAAAGACTCATAATCGTTAGTATCTCTCTATTCTCTTTTGCTGACCTGGAAAAAGAAGTGATGCAATGATAGCCTGATTAAAATGACCCCTAAAACACAATCCCCACCATGCTGTCCACAAGCCCGTTCAGCCAGCTCCCACGCAGTCCCTTTAAGATGCGAGCAGAAGAGGGGCCTCTCTGGCTGCTCCTCTGAGGAATAACTGCCTCCTGAGTTTCCACAGGAGGAAATAAATAGTGGTCAGGACCTGGGACAGGCTCAACTAGTGGTCATCGATGTCGGCGGTATCTTCTTACCTATTTAAAAGAGGCTCAAAGGTTTGAGCTCAATAGGGCTGATAGAATCTTGCCACTTTCCTTTTGAATAGACTTTAATTGAGAGCGAAGTGAAAAAATGCAGGTTACATTTTTAGTGTTATCCATACGTTGTAAGATCAACACCGAGACAGTGATGCATCTAACGTTTATACATTTCCTAACTTTAGTTGTCAAAGAGCAAATCATTATCAGATAGATATATTTACACAATAATTTCAAGCAACAGTAAATAATAAACTCCCTCCCTTAAAAATCCAAAAAAAAAAAATCACACACATCCAATTACCTTTAAACAATGGATTTCCTCACCCTAGTAAGTATCATTTTTTGCACATATACTTGTAGATCCAAAGTTACTTAAGTTACTTAAGAACAGTCTTATCAGTGAGATCTCAGATCAGCCCTATTTCTTTTTGAGTCGCTTTAATTTTTACAACTTGAAGCCACATAACCAGCGTAGCCTATACACTTGAAGGACTCTAAGGACACCCCACATGATAAAAATGAATTCCACTTCCTTTGTGGAGGAGATATGTACATCTCTGAAGACGCATATGACTACAATTCAAAAAGTCAAAAATGAACACAAAACCAAAATCTCAGATCTTCAAACACGGTGTCTTAAGAGCATTGTGTTAATGTTAACATTGAATTAACTGAATGGTAATATTCTTTCATATTTCTCTACAGAGTTGCTATTTAGTTCTGATTCTTTTTTCAGCTGCTTGAAACACACGAGCTTTAAAAGTTGCCTGGCAGCACACAGCAGCCTGCCTAACCTCCGCACTGTCGGACGGGTCTCACCCCCAGGGCCCTGCTCTCTGATTTATTTCTTGCTATAGCTGTTAGTAAATGGAAACCATGACAAAGTTTACATTAGCAGACACATACACATGCCCTGGCCTATAAATATTCTATGATGGAAAATGGTACAATGACTCCATTCCCAGTGAAAATGAGCGTAAAAGAAGAGGGTGGGGGAACCTTCTCAGCAATGGCTCTTCTTACACTGGGAAATCCAGACCAAACGGCGATGTATGTCGTTGGCCACCTCTCTGGGGCTTTGTGAGTCAACTACAAGTTGGCAGAGTGGAGGCCACCTTCTCCGGGGAGACCTGGTGGGATCCAGTAGTACACGCATCTTGTCTTGGAAGCTGGATGAAGGCGAACTGGCATTTCCTTCTTAGAGAGGTGAGTGAGGAGGGATTTTTAAAGTCAGATTGGAAAGCAGTTCCCACACTGTCCTGCCTGGGACACAGCTCTGTCCCTGGGTTGGACCCCTCAAAGTGCCAGCTGGAGCTTGGTCATGTTTCTCTGGTGCATGTTGTGATGGCGGACTAATTCGTCTGACCGGGCGAACTTTTTCTGACAACTGGGCCACCGACAGCTGAAGGGCTTTTCACCTGTTGACACAATTGCCAGTCAGATACTTGCAGCGGAAAAGATGGTATATGTTTAACTCTCAAAGGCCCGAGTTAATGCCACAAGGCACCCACTCCAGATTCCTTCTAGTTTTGTCCCTAAGCTAACGCACCAGGCTTACTTCGGGGGCAGCTCTGAGATGGCAGCTCTTCTGAGGCCTTAAAATACTGTAACAAATTATAAAATACTAGAGGTCTGGTGCACAAAATTCATGCACTTGCGGGGGGGCGGGGGTCCCTCAGCCTGGCTGCCCTCTCGTCGCAGTCCAGGAGCCCTCGGGGGATGTCCGACTGCCTCGGAGGCTGGAGAGGCTCCTGCCACCACCGCTGCACTCGCCAGCAGTGAACCCAGCTTCTGGCTGAGTGGCATTCCCCTTGTGGGAGCACACTGACCACCAGGGGGCAGCTCCTGAACTGAGTGTCTGCCCCCTGGTGGTCAGTGCACGTCATAGTGACTGGTCGTTCTGCCGTTCTATCTATTTGCATATTAGCCTTTTATTATATAGGATTACTAAGTCAGAAGACTTGGGAAATGAGTGACTATGAATGGAAATGTCTGGGTAATCATATAAAATGAAGGGGTGGGGGGACACTTATTTCAACCTCTCCCTTTAGACTGTCTTATGAACTGTGTAAGTAGGGCATTGAACTTATCTGGGCTGCAAGGGCCTCAGGATTGTCACCCTAGATGTTACTTATTAATCACCATCCAGCAGTAGAGCTATGACTGCAGCTTTCCTATCTCTGTATAGATAAAGATTCTGGACAGGCTGAGTATTTTTAAATAAGTCACTGATACTAGTATTTTTAAATAAGTATTTTAAATAAGTAACTGATACTAGTCACTGATACATGGTATTTTTTTCTATTTCCTTAAAGTGTAACTCAGAGCATAATTCTGTTACACAGAAAATTCTAGTTGAAGCATAGTTTAGAGATTTTTAACAAGTCTGCCAAAAGATCAAGCCTTCTCCACCTAAGGTGCCCTCAGAAGTTCTTTCCAAGCCTCATTCTGTACAGGGAAGATAATTAGCATTTATCAAGTGCCTAATGTATGCCAAGCTTTTTGCTGGCCATCATCTATATATATAAAAGCCTAAACGACTGTTAAAACCGAACAACCGGAATGACTGGAACAACCGGTTGACCAGTCACTATGATGCACACTGACTACCAGGGGGCAGACGCATAATGGAGGAGCTGCCCCCTGGTGGTCAGTGCACTCCCACAGCCAACCTCCTGCGGCCTCTCCCCTTGGCCAGCCTGCCCCAATCGCCCTGATCAGAACCTCCTGTGGCCCCAATCAGGACTGGGTGAGATACTCCCATTGGCCCCGATTGCCGGCCAGGTCAAGGGACCCCACCCATGCATGAATTCATGCACTGGGCCTCTAATATATATATATGGCTTGCCTCATGTACTCTTAGAACAGCTCTGTAAGGGAAGTGTTGTTATCCCCACTCTACAGATGATGGTGGACTTCTGGGCAAGGCAGACCCAGGCAAGACTCCAATTCAGGTCAGTCTAATTTCAAAAACCGTGCACTTTGCTGTATCCCACCTCCTGGGCCTAGCCATATTGCAAATATACCTATGACTTAATGCTAAGTACAAATGCCACAGAAGCCAATCCCTTGTACCACCTTGGGGATCCTTTCTTGATATCGTTGGTCCCACTTTGCCTTTTCTGGGAGCTACTGGTCAGGACAAGCACTGAGAAATGTCCCAGGGGAGGTGCTGACCCAGGGTGAGAGCTGGGGGCCCATCAAGTATAGCATTAAATAGTCTACTGGTAACCTAGGTCACCAGCACACATGCAGATATGCACAGATTTGGGGGTTAGGGTACAAGGAATAGAAACTCTTTCCCACCAAATTATGAGCTCAGGACTAAGGCAAAGAAGCAACACCAAAGGCATCCAAGTAGGGCCAACGAGATGCCCATCCCACCAACTCTGGGGTACAGGTGCCTTGACTCTGTAAGTGCAGCATGTTTGGGTTGAAAATCCAGGACTGCACGAGGGGCTTATGACATCATGCCTTCTTTTACCTCCTGCTCACTGTTCCTCTGCTCTTTCTAATCTGGCTCCTGCTCCCAGTCCCCACCCCGAGCCATGCAGCCAAAGTCCTGTCCAACCCTTTCTCTTGCTGTCTTCATTCTCCTCAGTCTATCAATGGTATTCAACTCTGCTGACTTTCTACTTGATTCTCTTTCCTCCATGGGTTGTGACATAAAATCCAATCCCCCCAAACCTTTCTCCAACAAAGAAGGCATATGGTGGGCTGGGAGCAGATAAAACTGGGTTTGCTACTTACTAGCTTTAGGACTTTACACAAGTCATTTAATCACTATGTGCCTCAGTCTCCTCATCTGTAAAATGGGGATAAAACATGCCTGCCTACTCTTCTTACAAGGATGATGTTAAGATAAAGTAAGATAACCTAGACATTGGCCCTCCTTCCAAAGCTATAAAATACACAACAAAGATGGTGCCATTTTCATTATGAATCACACCAGCCTTACGGAGAAGCAAAAGCCTTCAACAGCCAGTGAATAAATGCTCGATTCCCCTTCTCTAGACTAGTACAAAGGAAATAATATCCACACGCTGATGTGAGTCTGGCAGAAACCATGGCAGCTCCTGGGGCACTAACTTTTAGCAGAGAAAGAATTCAGATCTCTGAAAATAGTGTTATGAAACATCAACTTTCAGAGAATAAATGTTTAGCTTGCTAGATTTGGGCTTGCTAGAATTTCTGTTGTTCTTCTGTGAGGTTGATTATCCTATCAAGCTGAGTGATAAAAAAAATATGATGAAACAAATTGGGAACAGAGGGACCTACGTTATCTCTTCATTTTTATTTTGGACACTCATGAAAAGTTCTTTTCACATCTCTGTTCTATTCTGTATCAATCCCCCGCCCCTTCTTAAACAATGTTGTTTAAAATAGCCATAGAATGTTCTTTCTCTCATCTAAGTCTAAACCTGTTTAGAACCGTTTTTACACTAGTCTTTCCCAATCTCTCTCATCATAAACAACTTCATTCAAACAGTAGTTTAAAAAATAATGAAAAATAAATGTGAAGAAAAGTTTACGCACTTGTTTTACCTGTATGAGTCCTGGTGTGGGTCTTCAGGTGGTCGGACCGGGAGAACTTTCGCTGACAAGTTTTACACTGGAATGGTTTCACACCTAGACGGACAGAGAAGGTCTAACCGCAGCCCTAACAATGTGGGGCATGACGAGGCCCACAAGGCCTGCTTCCCGGAGGCCGGAGGAGCCGGGCATTTCCAGCCACGCCTGCAGCATCTGCCTCACCCTCAGATTTCCCCCAGGCCCAGCATGAACCACCCGATTCTGTGCATAACCCTGAAGACCTGCTTCTGCTCTTGGAAACAAGTATTCTTTAACCACAGATGTCCAGCTTCTGACCAAGGTCTCAACTGTGTCCAAGACTGAAAAAGAGGATCATACACTACAGATGGGATTCTGATCTCCACCACCCATGATCTTTACTGGTGCTCGGTGTATCATCAGCAAGTAGCTAGTGGAATCTCCTTGTTCTGTGGTCTGCATGATAAATATGGGGTGCTTCTTTCTCTTTCCTCCCTTTCTTTCTTTTATTTTTTTAAGAGAAGGAAAATACCCAGCAATTAGAAAAAAAAATTAGAAAAATGAAACAAATGGCTGACCCTCTCACATCCATATTTAACAACAAAGAGAATCACAACATCAACTGTAATGCAAGAGAGCACACTGCTGGCAATGAGAAGTGAACCTACAAACCTGTGTGTCTCCTTTGGTGTCTTTTGAGCTGGTCTGAACGAGAAAACCTTCGCTCACAGTCCTTGAAGTCACACTGGTATGGTTTCTCACCTTGGAGGAAGAAACAGACTCCATTTGAAAATGATACTGGAAGTGGGGATCTCATTAAAAGCAACCTCTCCTCTTGGGACTGAAGGGGTCCCCAAGGGCCTCAGGCACTTCGGTGGAGCATGTTAGTGTGGCCTTGCCAAATGCAGTGTGTGGTTAAAGGCCCACCTATCCATGGGCTCACTGTCAGTGACTGAAGACTGGGGGGGCTGGGTGAATGAGGATGGTCCCTCACCTCCCAGTTAGAAGTGAACGGAAACCCAGGTTCTGGAGTTTGAGACCAAGGTCACATCCCACTCTGGCACTGTAAGGGCTGGGTGAGGTATGGTTTCCTTATTGTGAAATGGGGCCAATAATCTGACAACTTCCAAGGATTTATAAACTGATTAAACCAGACCATCTACAGAAAGGGCTTAGCCCAGTACCTAGCACAGAAGCGTGCTCAAAAATCACTGGCAGAGAATATTTAGACAAATAACAAATGAAAGAAATCTTAACTCCTAGACTGAGTCTGAGGCAGAATTCTGAGATGGACGTGCCTTGGAGCAGGCCCATATTTTATGGCCTGAAGATTTGGTGTTCTCTGCTACTGACTTCTCATTCCTGAGTCAAGCATAAACAGTTCAATGGTTGTGAGACGCTCAAGTTAAACCAGGAGCTTAGAAAGATTTTGCTATCCCTTTATCAGAGAGAAGTCAGTAGTGGGATTACACAACCTCCAGTCTCAGAATGGAGAAGCCCCACCCTGTCCTCGCTCAAGAAAGTTCAGCCAAACACTGGGAGCTGAGCCCCAAGAGTGCACTCAGAGACCTCGGGCCTTTCCACCTTCGTATGAGAATTCTGAGTCACCCGCATTCTGGGATGGAGTTCTGGGATGGAGAGCAAGTCCTCCCCCGCAGCCCCCAGGGCTCCGTCGGGTCTTTCCATTGCAGGGCAGTCCCTAGTTACCTATCCAGCCCTGATAGATAGATAACCTCCTCTATCTCCCCTGAGTAATCTGTATTCCTGCTATACCAGAGCTCACCATTCCCGAAATCTGCCTCACACTTTGCTCACACTAAATGCCCTTGGTCCCTATCCCGTTCCTACTGGCAAAAAGTCTGCTCTAAGTTCCTCACAAATGCCTGTTCATCTGTGATGCCTTCCTGGAAACGTCGTGTGCAGACTGAGAGCCCTTCCTTCCCTCCTTACAGAATTTATTACAGAACATCGAATGCGGTGGGCTGTGCCCAGGTCTGCCTCCTCCACCGGCTGGAAATTCCTGAGGGCAGGAGCCTTTCCTTAACTTGCTACTTGTCCCCAGCCCAGTGAGTGACTTAGCTTCACCTCTACAATTGGGGAGGACAATACCACTATTTGGTCGCATTTCTTTTCCCTGCCTTTCTGCTTCTGCTCCTGTTTTTCCTTTTTCTGCCCGACCTTAACCTTGATGGTCAGCCCACACCCATCTGCCACCAAGAAACCTCCTGGACCCTAGCTCAAATGGATACTCTCTGAACAACTCTTCCCACTCCTCCAGCCTCTGGTTTAGAACATTATCATGTGCTCTCTTAGTCCCTTTTCATATGTATATGTCCTAGATCCAAAACAGACCATATGCCCTTTGAACTGGGGGCTTGTGGCTTGGGAATGGAAAGGCGTGAGTTTGAATCCTGCTTCAGCTGTACCCCACCCAGCTGGTAATTGTTGTATGTGTGAGGATTAAATGAAATAATGCATGTAAAGAGCCTGACACACAGAAAGCATTTAATATAGAATTACTTAATATTATACTCTGCGCTGTTATTATAAATTGTACTCTTTCAAGAAGGGGACCACAGAATTGTTATATACCAGCCTGCCCTAGCGGTTCTGATAGTCCTAGCCATCTTGCCTACTGTCTTCCCTTCACACAGACATCTAACCCTCATTGTTTTCTAAGTATCTCTTTTCCATTAAAAGTTTCTACAATGGTATCATCTTGAATGTAGTCCCTCGCATTCTTCCAAGCAGAGTTTTACTTTACCATCTCCCTTCTAACCTTAACATTTACTTTCCAAATGATCCCATTTAGGAAACTATGTAAAAACAGAACATGCCACCAGTTTTCTCATCTTTAGCCTCAAAGCCAGAGGTGCACTGAGTGCAAAGTCAGGTTTAAGCAGGAACTGCATCCTCTACATGTAATGACCTAGCAATGGCCAATGGTCTAGAGATCTGAAAGCAGATCACTTTCTTCTCTAGCTTCCTTAAAGCAACCTCAGCAGTAATCCTATCTAATAAAGAGGGAATATGCTAATTGACCCTCACGCCATCGCAAAGATGGCAGCCCCCACGGCCAATAAGGAGAGAATATGCTAATTGACTGTCACACCCTCAAAGATGGTGGTGCCCACAGCCACAAGATGGCCGGCAGGGAAGGGCAGTTGTGGGCGATCAGGCCAGCAGGGGAGGGGAGTTGGGGGTGACTGGGCTGGCAGGGGAGGTCAGTTGGGGGCGATTGGGCTGACACAGGAGCAGTTAGGCGTCAATCAGGCTGGCAGGGGAGTGGTTAGGGGGTGATCAGGCTGGCAGGCAGAAGCGGTTAGGGGCAGTCAGGCAGGCAGGCAGGCAAGCGGTTGGGAGCCAGCAGTCGCAGATTGTGAGAGAGATGTCTGACTGCCGGTTTAAACCTGCAGTCGTACATCCCCTGAGGGGTCCCAGATTGGAGAGGGTGCAGGCTGGGCTGAGGGACACCCTCCTCCCAGTGCACGAATTTCATTCACTGGGCCTCTAGTATTAAATAATTATGCTTATCGTCACAACAAAGCTGTCTTTCAATTGTGGAAAGAATGCCCTCGTCAGTGTAGCTCAAGTGTTTGGAGCATCATCCCATACACCAAAAGGTTGCAGGTTCGATTTCTGGTCAAGGCACATATCCAGGTTGTAGATTCGATCCCTGGTCAGGATGCATGTGGGAGGTACCAGTCAATGTTTCTCGCTCACATCAATGTTTCTCTCTCTCTCTCTCAAATCAATTTTTAAAAATTTTAAAAATGAAAAAGTATGGCACCAGCTGCCCTGCAGAAAAGCCTGCTCTTCCCCCTTTCTCTATAGGGGAGACCCAATCTCACTCCCATCCACAGGCCAAGGGCAAATATTTGTAAAACAGCTGTTCACATTTGAGGTGTCCAACAACCACACAAGGACTCTTTCCCAGAGGCAGACCTGTGGGGAAAATCAAGTTTTCCTAGACACATAATCAAAAATCACCATCCTTTTTTAAGATTGAAAACAAAAATTAAACCTACAATCCATTTTCCCATTCTCATCTGGTTGATTATTAACCCAAGCAGTTAAGTTTGTCTTTGAACCCTCTCTTCCTAATCTTAGGATAACCTTGCCCACCAAGCTCTCAAAATCATCTGATTGTACCAAACTCCCAGGCTAGCTCCTCTCTCTTTAGAGATGCTAATAGTATTCCAATAGGAACACTACCATTTATTCAGACTTATTGGCATAGGGTACTGCACTTGGTGTTTCATACCTGTAATTCCTTTAATCCAATTTAATATTAAAATGTAATCTGCTCTTAACAATTATATAAGGTAGGCATTATCATCTCCATTTTTCACATGAAGCAAATGAAGTTCAAAGAGAGGTTAAGTAACTTTCGCTAGGTCTCGCCACTTGGTGATAAAGCCAGCATTCAAACACCAGGCTCTTTAATTCTGTGCGATTCTTTTTCCACCACTCTGCTCAGCCCTTCCTGAAGACAGCTTACTGACTTCTTTATTAAAGGATGGATAATCAGGATGCAAAATGGCCCTGCAGCCTTTTTCTATCACCTGAGCCAGATCTTTCAAAATGCCTACTGTCTATCATCCCAGCAATCACCTGGGCCCTTAGCAGTGTGAGACCCAGGAGCAGGAGCTCCGGAACCAGCCCTGCCCCAAGCTCACCAAACCAAGGCTGGACGGTGGACACACTTACCAGTGTGCTTCCGGCTGTGCATCTGTAAGTGAGACAGCTTAAAATATCTCTTATTGCAGCCCGGGTAAGCACACATGAAGGGACGTTTCTCACTGGTCTCAGATGCCGAACGGACAAGAGTCGGGGCTACTCCGGGCACGCGCCGAACGTCCTACAAGCAGAGCATAAGCGAATGCAGGCTTTAGCCACAGGTGAACATGCGTGCCAGGTCCCCAGGGAAAGTGAGCATTGGAATATACCCCAGGAAGGGATGGCAGAGCCGAAGCCTAAAACTGCTCCACACACCAGATGCCCACAGCAGACATCACTAACGGATGACGGATCAGTGCATTCTACAATGCAGTGCTCTGACGTCATCACTACTGACCAGCCAGAACCAGTACTTGAATTCTGTTTGAGGTCGATAATCCAGAGTATCTGGAAAAGAAATGCTGGTGACTGGAAGAGCTCCCAGTCCAGCCTGTCTCTCAGATTCTCCACTAGATGCAGTGAGGTTTGGAAGCCAAAGTCCCAGATTCTATTCCATTCCCTCCCACTCAGATGCATGGCCACAACACTGGGGCCAAATATGCAATGGGTGGGAATGTCCTTATTAGAGAGGCATGCAGGATACAAACGAGCTCCAACTAACCAGACCTTCCATGTGTGAGTAAATGACAAGGAAGAGGAGCCCCTGAGATGTGGGGGTGTTGTCTGTGAAGGGGAGCTGAAACCAGAGACTCCATGTGCAGTGCTTTAACAGTGACACCAGAAAACACTGGGTCTGCCCTCTATGCACCATGCACATCCTTCCCAGGGCAGCATGTTGGTCCCCTTTATCTTCCGAGTGTATGTGTACGGTCAGTCCTACCTGAGAAAGAGCTAGAGGGAAACAATGAGGCAAGCTCCCCTTCATTCTCTTTGGAGACTCCCTCCTCCCCCAAACTGTTCACAGCCTCTGTCTCCCTAGGAGGCAGTATAAAGAGGTGCTTAAAAACAGGGTTTTTAAAAACAGGGTTTTTGGAGTCAGACAAGCCGTGTTGTAAGTCTCTGCTCCACCTCTTACCAGCTATGTGGTTTTGGACAAGTCACTCATCTTCTCCAGCCTTGAGTTTCCTTACCTACAAAATGGAGCTAATGATAGTACCTACCTCATAAAGGTGTGCTGAGGATTAAATGGAGGGGGGGAGTCAATGTATAGACATGAAAGAAGCTTAAATGTGTATTATTAAGTGAAAGGAGCCACTCTGAAAAGGCTACATACTGTATGATTCCAGCTATATGACACTCTGGGAAAAGGCAAAACTATAGACAGTGAAAAGATCTGTGGTGATGGGGGCAGGAGAAGGGGAGAGGGGGGAGAGATGAGCAGGTAGAACATGGGGCATTTTTAGGCAGTGAAACTGCTCTGTATGATATTGTAATGGTAGATACACGGCATTATGCATTTTGCAAAACCCACAGAACCACATAGCACAAAAAGTGAACCCTAATGTGAACTATGGACTTTGGTTAATAATAATGTGTCATTATTGGCTCATCCATTGTAACAAATGCACCATACCAAAGCCAGATATTAATAAACATAGAGACTATGTCAGGGGAGAAGCAGGGGAGAGGGAAGAAATGGGAACTCTCTGTACTTTCTGCACAATTTTCCCTTGAACCTAAAACATTGTTGTAAAAAATTTGTCTATTTTTTAAAAAAAAAAACAGTCCATGTATAAAACTTAGCCCTACTGTCTATCATCCCAGCAATCACCTGGGCCCTTAGCAGTGTGAGACCCAGGAGCAGGAGCTCCGGAACCAGCCCTGCCCCAAGCTCACCAAACCAAGGCTGGACGGTGGACACACTTACCAGTGTGCTTCCGGCTGTGCATCTGTAAGTGAGACAGCTTAAAATATCTCTTATTGCAGCCCGGGTAAGCACACATGAAGGGGCGTTTCTCACTGGTCTCAGATGCCGAACGGACAAGAGTCGGGGCTACTCCGGGCACGCGCCGAACGTCCTACAAGCAGAGCATAAGCGAATGCAGGCTTTAGCCACAGGTGAACATGCGTGCCAGGTCCCCAGGGAAAGTGAGCATTGGAATATACCCCAGGAAGGGATGGCAGAGCCGAAGCCTAAAACTGCTCCACACACCAGATGCCCACAGCAGACATCACTAACGGATGACGGATCAGTGCATTCTACAATGCAGTGCTCTGACGGCATCACTACTGACCAGCCAGAACCAGTACTTGAAGTCTGTTTGAGGTCGATAATCCAGAGTATCTGGAAAAGAAATGCTGGTGACTGGAAGAGCTCCCAGTCCAGCCTGTCTCTCAGATTCTCCACTAGATGCAGTGAGGTTTGGAAGCCAAAGTCCCAGATTCTATTCCATTCCCTCCCACTCAGATGCATGGCCACAACACTGGGGCCAAATATGCAATGGGTGGGAATGTCCTTATTAGAGAGGCATGCAGGATACAAACGAGCTCCAACTAACCAGACCTTCCATGTGTGAGTAAATGACAAGGAAGAGGAGCCCCTGAGATGTGGGGGTGTTGTCTGTGAAGGGGAGCTGAAACCAGAGACTCCATGTGCAGTGCTTTAACAGTGACACCAGAAAACACTGGGTCTGCCCTCTATGCACCATGCACATCCTTCCCAGGGCAGCATGTTGGTCCCCTTTATCTTCCGAGTGTATGTGTACGGTCAGTCCTACCTGAGAAAGAGCTAGAGGGAAACAATGAGGCAAGCTCCCCTTCATTCTCTTTGGAGACTCCCTCCTCCCCCAAACTGTTCACAGCCTCTGTCTCCCTAGGAGGCAGTATAAAGAGGTGCTTAAAAACAGGGTTTTTAAAAACAGGGTTTTTGGAGTCAGACAAGCCGTGTTGTAAGTCTCTGCTCCACCTCTTACCAGCTATGTGGTTTTGGACAAGTCACTCATCTTCTCCAGCCTTGAGTTTCCTTACCTACAAAATGGAGCTAATGATAGTACCTACCTCATAAAGGTGTGCTGAGGATTAAATGGAGGGGGGGGGGAGTCAATGTATAGACATGAAAGAAGCTTAAATGTGTATTATTAAGTGAAAGGAGCCACTCTGAAAAGGCTACATACTGTATGATTCCAGCTATATGACACTCTGGGAAAAGGCAAAACTATAGACAGTGAAAAGATCTGTGGTGATGGGGGCAGGAGAAGGGGAGAGGGGGGAGAGATGAGCAGGTAGAACATGGGGCATTTTTAGGCAGTGAAACTGCTCTGTATGATATTGTAATGGTAGATACACGGCATTATGCATTTTGCAAAACCCACAGAACCACATAGCACAAAAAGTGAACCCTAATGTGAACTATGGACTTTGGTTAATAATAATGTGTCATTATTGGCTCATCCATTGTAACAAATGCACCATACCAAAGCCAGATATTAATAAACATAGAGACTATGTCGGAGAAGCAGGGGAGAGGGAAGATATGGGAACTCTCTGTACTTTCTGCACAATTTCCCCTTGAACCTAAAACATTGTTGTAAAAAATTTAAGTCTATTTTTTTAAAAAAACAGTCCATGTATAAAACTTAGCACAATGCCTGGCATATACAAAGTGTCCAGCCATAGATGGTGCAGTTACTGATGTTATTGTTATTATTAGCAACCCTTGGCAAGATAGAGTCTACCTTTGGGCACTTTACATTGCAGACCAAGTCAAAGGCAGGCCATTAATTCAAGCCCGTTTAGCCCCAAATGCTAGTATAAGAGCTGCGTAGCCCACCATGGAGAAGGCGAATTAAACCATGAAAAGAGAAAAGATGGGATTCTACAGGAAACATCTTGGCCTGAGCCAGGGAGGCAGCCCCCTTCAAGCTGGCCTCTGTAGAGGAGGAGGCTGCCCTATCTCTCCCCTGGAAGAGGAGGGGATCCCTGCTGCCCCAGGAGCATACAATTAGGAACAGACTTGCTAGGATCAAATGGCCATCAGCAAGGAAGTGAGAGGGTGGATGTTGAGAAGGGAAAGAGGCCATGAAGTCCACTTCCAGCCGGGGCCCGAGTACTCACCTGAATGCCCCTGAAGACACCGTGGGTGTGTATTCTGTACTGGGCGCCACAGAGGATGGGCGTGGTGTGGTTATCGCTTTCATACCCTGTGCCATGGCTGCAAACACAAGGAAGAGAGGACAAGGCTCGGGTTGGTCCAGAGGCACCATTTGGAAATGTGCATCTGCAGCAGAGGAATGTTTTTTAAAGCTCACAGGACAACAGCTGGTTTCTGCCTCCCTCCATCGGGGCTACTTTCGAAGTAGGGTTTTGTGAAGAGCGGGGCTGCTCAATCCTGGTGTCACCACCACGCAGCCCTCCCTCACACCCAGATTCTCACAGACGCACTGCACCGTCCGGGGCTCTGCCTCTCTCAGACAAGCCGGGAACAGTCACAGTGGCAGGAGTTCATCCCCAGCACGCTGTTAACCCTCTAGATGGCAGGGCTGACAGCTGCAAGTATCTCAGGAATGAGCAGATGCCTCAAGTTCACATCAAGTGCAAGGGATGTTTGTCGGCACCTCATGACTCAGTTTTCACCAGATAGCGCCAAGAAAGTGATGACACAAGGAGAGATGTCACATCCTCAGAAGTGGGGGTGACACATCTGTGGCCCTGCTCCACTTAACCTAGAGATCAGTTTTCCAGATCAGCTTAACTCTTGGCAGCCAACCCGTGCCAAAGGCGGACACCAGATAATCTTCCTCCAGCAGTAGACTGACTAGTCCCCTAGTCGACGCTCAGGTTAACCGTGGACTACTAGTGAGAGCTGAGGGATGTGAAATATTGAAAAGGAATCGCTTGGAAGGGGTGGATGTTCTGCTCTAAAGGTATTCTCTCCTCCAGGAAAAAGCTGATTATCTGTTCTAGTTATTTTACTTCCAAACGAGGCAGAGTGAGGGTTCTTATCCACGCAGGCGCACACTGCAATCACATCTAGAATCATCATGGAGAGCTTTTATGAAATACCTCTGTGAAATGGTGCAGCGGCTTTGGTAAATGCCTGGAAGGTCCTCAAAAGGTTAGACATAAAGTTCCCGTGGGGCCGGCAATTCCACGTCCAGGTATGTTTCCAGGAGAAATGAATCATATGTTTACACAAGAACCTGTGCACACTGTTTTTGAGCAGCATTTATTCATCCTGGCTAAAAAGTGGAATCAACCCAAAAGTCCATCAGCTGATGAGGAAACAAAATGCAGGACCTTCATAAAATGGAATGTTATTTGGCAATAAAAAGGAAGAAAATACTGACACCTGATAATGTGGACAAACCTTGAAAACACTGTACTAAGTGAAAGAGGCCACTCACAAAGGACCACCTATTGTGTGACTCCATTTATACAAGGTGTCCAGACATAGGCAGAATTATGGTGACAGAAAGTAGATTTCGGTGGCTGGTTGCCTAGGGCTGGGGAAGCTGGAGAGAAATGGAGACTGACTGCTGAAAATGTCCTAAAACTGGGGTACTAGTCACACAAGTCCGAATATACTAAAACTATTGAGTCGTATACTCCAAATGAGTGAGCTGTATGATATATGAAACCTGTAAAGCTGCTTTTAAAAATTACCTCTGCAGAATGGGGTCCATGCACCAGCATTTTTTTGCCTCCAAGTGTAATTAACTGGCTGTCAGGGCTGAGAGCCTCCACCCCCTGACTGTTACTCTGGAGATTCCAAGGGTCCAGGGGCAGGAGGCAGGTGGCTTGGCTGATGAGCCCGCTCCATCTGAAGGTATGGGGAAAGTCTGGGGCTGGCTCAACTCTCACTCACCCAGGGAAGAGAATTCCTGGAAGGCAAGAGTGTCTGCCAGGACGCCTGACATGTCCACGTACCCTGTGGCCACAGCAGCTGTGGGGTGTCACATGTAGTTCTGGCTCCAAACTTTTAAGAAAAGATTGACTGTCTCCTTTGCACAGAGCAATGAGAGCAGTCTGGGGAGGTGGGTGGCAGTTTGCGCCCCGTAACCTACTATATACACCTTGTTTCCACATCTTTCAGGTGATTTTTGACATATCTGAAGAGAAATGTCCCAAAGAGCTAACCTAGGGTCAAACACGTAAAAATTGGAAAGACATGCCAAATCCAGATAGTATCTGCCTTTCTGAACCTTAGAATGTGCCTGCCAAGAAAAAGAGACCATGTCTGCGTTCCTTACAATTACATAGACAGTCGGGAAGTGAGAGTTGATGACGATGGTGATGGGGTAGCAGAAAGCGGACAGGACGAGAATGCTGCTGCCAGAACATTTTGCCTCAAAAGCTGTGAAGAGATGCTGTCTTTGCCTGCTTTAGCCTGCCTGCAGCCAAAATGTGACTTACACACTTTCCAGGGCTGAGGAATCTCTAGGGACAAAGCAACAGGAATACGAATTATTTTAGAGTTCTGCCATCAAAGGGGAGGAATTAGAACTCTCCTGTCTTGGCAGTTGATCTCTGGATGTTTCTGGGTTCCTGGAGGGTGGAAGACATGGGGAATAGACGTTACTCAGGATACTTGTCCCAGGAAATGAAGTGCTGTGTCATTCAAAGGGAATGACATGAATCTCACAGCCTGATGCAAGCCAACAAACAAAAGAAGCAACCAGCAACAAGAGTGTATCTGCCAAATGTGCCACTACATTCTTCTACCAGGTTCATGAATCAGAAAAAAGCTAAGCTTTGCCTATGGGCTCTTGTGTCTACAGAAGACAAACACACAATGCAATTCCACGCTGTGGAAGCCCTGCAACCCAACACTCTTCCCCATGTGGTCTGCCCAAGACACCAAGTACAACCAGTGGGCTCAATGATGACTCTCTCTAGGTAGGTAAAGGAAAGCAAGTCGGTGGTCTTGGAACCATCCACTAATAGAGGTAGGAAAGTAATCTATGCCAACCCCCATTCATAGCACCTCTAGCTCATCCTCAGCAGGTGAATAGTGACAACTATTTCAAGACAGTCCATTCTATTTTGGGAACGTTTTTATTGTTAGGAAAAGCCTTTCTAAACCAAGCTGAAATCAGTCTCCTCATTTCTGTCTCTTGAAGAACCACAGAGTGAGTCTTACTATTTTACAGGCATCTCTGTCTATCTACTCTGCTCTATGGTAAAGTTGGCCTTGAAGACAGAGACCAACTTGCTTCTCTCTGTATCCTCTCAACTTAGTGTCTGACGTAAGGTACACAGTCCATAACTGCTCCACAAGATGGACCGAATCTAACTCCTCTTCCACATGACAGTCCTCCAGGTATTTGAAGGCAGCTCTCCAGGCTACAGAACTGTGGTTCTCTCAACTATTGCAACATGAAATGGTATCTAATTCCTTTACTATGTGGATCCTCCTCTTCTTGATCCCCTTCAGTTTGTTAGGTGTCTCTCAGAGTGTGGGCTTGGGGTACTCCAGACGAAAAGTTCTATAAAGGATTGTTAGGTGTCTCTCAGAGTGTGGGCTTGGGGTACTCTAGACGAAAAGTTCTGTAAAGGCGTTAGGACACACACACACACACACACACACACACACACACACACACACACAGCTTTTGGAATCAAGAAAGGAACATCAGCACACACACACACACACACACACACAGCCTTTGGAATCAAGAAAGGAACATCAATGCATAAGACTGGAGAGTACATGCCTCACCCAAAGGGGCTCCATTTCAAATTTTTCAAAATCAACATGCTAGTCACACACAGTACAGTGCATCAGGCCTACAGGCTTCCAGGGCCTGGGGCTTCCCCCCTCAATCAGGACAAAGCAGTGCTATTTACACACCTGAGAGCACATCTTCCTCGCACTCAGGTCACAGTGGTCCTCCTCAGCCAAATAATACCTCCAACCACAGCACCCACCTAGTATGAACTGCAAGCGAGGCAGGTATCTCCAATCTTGAGCTTGAAGACACGATTTTTTCAAGCTTCAATTCAGGACTACACATATATCCTTCAAATTCCATTCTGTTTCTTTCAGCAAGTCATTCCCAACTGTTGAAATCTTTTTGACTCTTGATTTGGCTTCCGATCATTTGCTTTCATTCCTCTTTCATGTTATCTCTACATTTGAAAAGCAGCTTTTCTGTGTTTTCATAAGAGAAAAGGATCTTCCCTGCTGTTGTTGGGAATTATTGTATTTACAATATGTATAGAAGTAATAGAATTTGAGAAGGTTCTAGGGGGAAACTGGAGGGAAGACATCATAGAGAACCTAGTCATGTGTATGGGGCCCAGTCCAACAGAGCATAAGTCATCAGCAGGAGTTAACCTGAGACAGAGGCTCAGGAAGGTGGTGGTTGCCATTGCAACAACAGCCACTGTTAAGAGCCAGCTGCTAGCTTGATGACCAAGTGAAGCCAAGCTTTACCCCAAGAGAGACCAGCTTTAAAAACTTCCAGTTACTCTGCTGTGGATGAATAAAATAGGAGTGAGGGTAGGATTTCTAGAAGTCTGGAACCTTGAGGCTTTCCAAAAAGGGCAAGAGGCTACTAGCCCAATGAAGAGAGTTCTGGAACCAAACATGCACCTTCCACATAAAGGAATCACAGAGCCCTGGACAGTTATGGGGTAAAAACTCATCATGCCCCAGAGATGAAGGAGTTATCATTCATGAAACTGATATCAGAAAGAAGGTTTTAAAAGGAAGTGTGAATCCACTGACCAAGCCACTGAAAGACCCAAATCTCCCTTAGGGTAGAAATGCATGTAATGGTTTGATCCACCTTTACATGCAGATAATGAGAAGCAAAGTAAAGCAAGCCCAGAGCGATGCACAGTGAGGCATGTGACCCACGCCTGAGTAAAGCTGGACCTTCTTAGGCTAAGAAATTGGTGCTTTGCAAAATGTTTTCATGGTTTTCTGTTTTATTGCCTAGTAAACTTCTCTCTGACAGGTAAGGTACTTGTCCAGATGAATGAAAGGGAAAAGGGATTTGATGACACCTTGGCCAACATCATCAGGGGGATCACAAGGATTTACAGTGAGGTGGAATGAGGGCAGCTGTGGTTCAGAGAAGAGCTGGTGGGTCTGGTGGGGTCTGGTGCTGGCAGGTGAAGGTGTGGGGAAGGAGGCTATGAGTAATGTGACTACTTCTCCCTCCTGCCACAGAGCACTGCACTAGAAATCACTTGCCAGCTTGATAA